GAAAGATTGGCACAATAGATAAAAAATCAACACCCAAAAGTATATTGTGTAAAGAAGCACATTTAATCCAAAAATAAATTAACAGACTAAAAATCAAACAATAAAAGATGCCATATTCCAGGAACCTTAAAACAAGCAAGAGTTGCTATCCTATTTTCAGACAATGCCAAAACTGATCAGAAGAGGCAAAGAAGATCATCACACACTTGTGAAGGGAACAATTCCACAGGAAGGTATAACAATTATAAACATATGCACTGAACATTGGCACAAGTAACTTCATAAAACAAATACTACCAAACATAAAAGATCAGATAACCATCAACCTAATTATTGTGGGAAACCTTAATACCCCACTGTCATAAATAGTTTAGGTAGAGAAAAAAGATCAACAAAGACATATCAGAGTTGAATCAATCCTTCAAACAAATGAACTTAATATTTACAGAGTGTTCTGCCCAACAACAGAGCACACTTTCTTTTCAGCTGCACATAGAACTTTCTCCAAAATAGATCACACACTAGCCCACAAAGCAGAGCTAAATAAATGCAAAAGAATCAAAATTACTCTGATCAGAGCACAATGAAACTGGAACTCAGTTGCAAAATAAACCACAGAAATTATCCAGACAAATGGAAATTAAACAATATAATCTTGAATAATGAATGGGTCACAGAAAAAATTGAGAAAGAAATTAGACTGATCCAGGAAGGTAGCATAACCATGATTCCTGATAAGGGACCAACTTAAAATGAGAACTACAAGCCAATCTCTTCAATGACATAGATGCAGAAAACTTTCAACAAGACGTTGGCAAACAGAAAGCAACAAATCAGCAAATTATCATATATTATACCCAAATAGGCTTCATTCCAGGGATGTACAGATGGTTCTACATCCACAAATCAATAAATGTAATACATCACATAAACAGAATCAAGGACAAAAATCATACAATCATCTGAACAAATGGAGAAAAACCACTTGATAAATTTAATATCCCTTTATGATAAAAGCCTTGAAGAAAATCATTATCAAAAAATCTTATCTGAAGCTAATAAAAGCCATTTATTACAAACCTGCTCCCAACATCATGTCAAATGGGAAAATGCTGAAAGTTTGCCCTCTAAAATCAGAAATAAGACAAGGGTATTTACTAGTACCACTTCTATTCAACACAATACTCATAATATTAGGCAGAGCAATCAAGAAAGACAAAAATAAAAGGAATATTTATGGGAAAGGTAGAAGTCAAATTACCATTATTCACAGATGGTATGATTCTCTACATAGCAGACCCAAAAATTCCACCAAAATCTCTTATAATAACCAAATTCAGTAATGTAGTAGGATACCAAATCAACACACAAAAATCAAAAGCATTATTGTACACCAGTTATGACATAACTGAGAAAAAAATTATGAAAACAATACTATGCACAATATCATCAAAACAATTAAGTGCATAGGAAGTAAACTAAGTAAATGAAAGATCTCCACAATGAAAACTACAGTACTCTGAAATAGGAGATCTAACAGGACAACAGAATGGAAACACATCTCAAATTTCTGGGTAGGCAGAACCAATATTCTCAAAATAGCTGTAATTCCAAAAATGTTACACAGATTTAATGCATATAAATAAAAATACAAACAACATCACTCAATGTAGTAGAGAAAAAAAAATCCGACAATTCATTGGAACTAGAAAATACCCAGAAGAGCCACAGCAATTCTTGGAAATAAAAATAAAGTAGGAGGCAACACAATCCTGAAGCTCAAGTTATATTAAAAAGGTACAGTAATAAAAACAGAATAGTACTGACTCAAAAACAGACATGTACAACAATGGAACAAAATACAGGATTCAGAAACAACCCCAAATATATTTTGCCATTTGATCTTGACAAAGGGGCCAAAAATACCCTGGATGAATGATAAACTCTTTAACAAGTATTTCTTAAAAAAGGTGGCTATAGGCATGTAGAAAATTGAATCTAGAGCTATATATCTCAACACGTACAAAAGTAAAATCAAAATGGATCAAAGGTGCATATGTTAAACTAGAAAAAACCTGCTGGAAGATAAAAAAATAAGTAAAACTTTTGAAAACATATGCATAAGTAAGGACTTGCTAAACAAAACCGCAATTAACAAGAAATAACATAAAAATCAACAAATTGAAACATATCACATTAAAAAAGCTTTTGTACAACAAAGGAAACCAACAGAGTGAAGAGATAAGCAACAATATGGGAAAAAATTTTGCCTGCTATATAAGGAACTCAAAGAATTAGATTCACCCAAAATAATAAAAGATCCAATTAATAAATGGCCAACTGAAATGAACAGACACTTCTCTGAAGAACTATGAATGGGCAATAAATATATGAAAAAATATTCATTAATTGTGATAATCCAAGAAATACAAATAAAAACAATAAAATTCAATCTTATGAAAAAAAGAATGGCCATCATCAAAAAATCAAATATTAACAAATGCTGTCAAGGCTGTGGAGGAAAAGGAATCCTTCTATATTGTTGGTGGACATGTAACTAGTACAACCCCTAAGGAAATCAGTATGAGAACTGCTCAAAAAACTTAAAGTAGTAACTCTATTTGACCAACCTATTCTCCTTCTAGCCAACTTCCTGAGAGATTTTAAAGACATCATGTGACAGTGACATATTCATACCAATTTTATAGGAGCACAACTCATAATAGCTAAATCTTGAGCAATCAGACACACAAGCTTAACTATCACATTGTTTCTCTTATATAATAAACCCAAAGTATAAATTATTGCAGTTCTTGACTGCAGCAGCACAGAGGATGAGAGATCATTTGGAGTCAATATTCAATTTTACCTCCAAGATGCCCAGAGGGATAGCCTCCCAGAGCCTCATCAGTATGACAGAGTCTCAGCAAGTAGTCCTGAACTGAAGCTTCTGTGGCTTATTGATAGACCCAGGAAGCAAGGATAAAGGACAAAAGAAGTACATCTGTTCAGAAATTCATGCAAGGGACAGGGAAAAGACATGGTGGTCTACTTAGAGCTAATTTAAGTAATTAAGCACAGCATGGGGAGAACTAGAGTCAAAATGTACACATGCAGCATGCAGAAAGGGAACAAAAAGGCCAAAAGATAGAGATTGGTCTGGTTTACCTGTGAAGTCATGAATAAGATGACATTGAATGTGATGTGCCCACTGCTTCGCTACTCTCCTCCCCAGAAGCCCTGGTATAAAAGGAGAGCTAGAACAGGAAAGGTAGGGACACTGGGTGAGAAGTGAAGTGGAATGAGTCCTAAATCCTGCTTGCTAACATCTCTCTAAAAATCTTTTTTCTAATTAGGCCCTTTCTCTGGCCCTCAGAAAAGACCTGTTGAGGGATTTCAGAAGTGATATTCAGAGATCATACCAGTCCTATTCTAATCCCTTATTATCCATGTTTCCATGTAAGATTAGGGAAATTGTGCTTAGAAGGTACAGCTGCTAAACTAGAGGCTTGCTAGAACCTTGTTTTGACTCAAAGTGTAGCTTGAGGACCAGAAAAATTAGCATTACCTGGGAGCTTGTTACAACATCAAAACTACTGGATCAGAATCTGTAATTTAACAAGATCTCTAAGGTGATTCCAATAAGCATTCAAGACCAATATCATTGCTCCAGAGGTCCTGATATAAAATAAATATCAGCTTGAAAATAGAATGGAATTGCAAGTCAGGAGATCTAGGTACTACTTTGAGTTCTATCACTTACTGACTGTACAAAACTGAGCAACTTGTGTAATAGCCCTCATCTTTTTCTTAAACTGTGTGCTCCAAGGGCCACAGAATGATGTAGAAGTCAATAGTGTGAGTTTTAGAGCTAAACTGCCGCACATTAAATCTTGATTTCATTTATGAGCAGTTGAAGCTTTGGGAGAGTTGCCTGACATATGTGGGCATCAACCTCCTCATCTGTAATACTGGGTATACTAATACAGAGCATCCTAGTAAGTTGAAACTAAAGAAATTAACAGAAATTACATACTCTCAGAAAAGCCCAAGCAGATATTACATCTTATTTTACTCTAGCTTCATAATGTTATCTTCAACAACACAAGGAAACCTCAAAAGAAGGGTCAATAGGGGACTACGTACAAACCTCTTCCGTTAGTGTTTATTGTCAAATCTCTTACTTAGATGTTTATCATGGTGTATATACTTCTCAACAATGGGCACAGTCACCCAAGACCAGAGCTCTAACTTGGAACCATCAGGCAGTCAGAGGATAGGCTTCAAACTACTGTTTTGAACCTGTCAATCGGTTCCCTTGAGAAGGATTCCCCATGCCCTTTGTCTTAGTCCAATTTGCGTGACAATAACAGAATGTCTAACTTTGGATAATGTATAAAAACAAGAAACATATTTGGCTAACAGGTCTGGAAGCTGGGGTGTACAAAGACACAGCAACAGGATCTTTTCATAATCTAGTGAGGGCCTTCTTGCTGCATCATCCATGGCAGAAGGCAGAAGGACAATGGAGCACGAAAAGGCAAGACCAAGAGAGGGTTGAATGTTATAACAAACCCACCATTGTAAGAACGAACCCACTGTTTCTTGCAAAAATGGCATAAATCCATTTATGAACTGATCAACTTGGGAATGTCCCACGTCTCAACAATGTTCCATTGGCAATCAAGGTCCCAACACATAAACATTGGGGAACACATTCAAACCACTGCAACCTTTTATCCATTCCAGCTTTACACAAGTCTGGATAATTCCCTCTCTCTGGAAATCCACAGGAGCAGCCAGAAAGAGAGCAATTCTGTCCCACCAGGAGAAGAGCATTTGTGGAGCCCCCTTTTCTTACAACAACTCATAATTTGAAGAGTGGGACATCATCAGAACATTACCTGATCACCTGTCACAAAACTCACTGGAGGAAAAGCCTCCAGGCACAGGTGATAATGTAGAGCCTCAGCAGAACACTACACCACAAGAAAGCAAACATGACCCGGCTGCTGTGTAGTGCAATTGCTCTGAACCTCTACTCCTCCAATGGGGCAAAGGCCCAGCAATGCCTCCCAGTAGTGGCTGCTTGGGTCTGGAAGTTTGAGATGCATGAACGGACAAGTCGTTTTGTGAAAGTAGGATCAACCTGTTTCAGAAGATCCATCCTACTTGAATTTTGAAAACAAACTGGATATCAATATGGTTGATAATATAGCATCGGGAATAAAGCAGATGCACTTCAACTCAATAAGAAGCCTAAATTCTGTAGTACAAAATATTTACAGCTGAATATAAGTGGTAATCCTGGGCAAGGTCGGAGCCAGCCACGGGCAAAATTGTGCAAGGAGATGGTAACATGAAAATCCATAGGATGATAAGGTCTAGCAACTTCACCATTATGTTTCCTATAATATGTGAGAGGACAGTGGAAACCAGCACCACTTACCAGGTGTTTTGGACTTGGAGCTCCAGAGATGGCCCTCTGAAGGATAACACAGGCTGTTGAGGGCAAGTGATCTTCAGCTGTGGAGAAGAGACCAAAGTCAAAGGGATCGCTAAGTAGTGGATCCAAGCCATTTCTCCCCACGGATAAACAGATCGCAACAACCCAGTCTGGAAAAACCCATTCATGTATCCCTAAATTCATAGTTTCTAAGTCCCTCTTCTTGCTGTGCAAGCACCCGTTCTGCAGAATGAGGATATGGGGAGAGTCTAGCAAGGACCTCAGACCAGATGCCTCTGCAGCTTGGGGTGTGTCTACTGTCCTCTGGACACGATCATCGTATCACTATTAACCACTTCCTGCCCTAGTGAGTGTTATGTCTGAAAAGGTGGCTGGCTGATCACCTCGCCTCTAGAAATAAATACGCCGATATCTCTAACCCTGGCCATCATGAAAACGTGCACAGGAAACGTAGTGGTCAACAATTCATTCCTGCCCTGCTCAAATGAAGAGAAGCTCATTTTCTGAGTCTTGGGTTCATTTCCCAGGAGATCAGTGTACTGAGTTTGCAGTGGTGGGCTGCAACTCATCCAAACCACACGGAAAATGTAACACTGCTGAGGGAAAGGGAAACAGGAAACAGCCGTGTTCACGTGGAAATTAAATGTCCTGACAGATTCCACGATCATCTTTCACATATTCACCTGTGAAAAGTGCCTGGCACGTGCTAGGGCCGGTGCAGGAAGTACGGCTGTGTAGCTGGGCTAAGACTCCCATTCCTGACCCAAGGGGGCTGCTCGTCACCAAGTGGGCACAACAAGCACGGAGACACGCTTGGCTTCTTTCTCCTAGACTGACATACAATAGAAAGCTTTCCTCAAGGCCACGTTGCCCCTGACTGGCAGGCTCAGGACAACAGCTCTCTGCTACTTTCCAATGCATTTTCACAAGGGTAGAAACCAGATTTCTGCCAGGGCCCCTCCACCTTCTGGAACAGAAAATCAGGCACCAGCCAGGGTTTCTTTCCCCCTTTTGGGGGGATCCTTATCCTGCAGCCCAGCTCCAAAGCCCCTCCGCCATGCGTCTTCCCGCCCCAGCCGGAAACACTGGTCTCTGGACTCAAAGGCTGAGCCCGACCTCACTTAGGCCCTGGTCCCGCCGCCTGGCGCCCCAGTAGAAAGGGGCGTGGTAGACCCTTCTTTTGGAATTCCCGCTAGCTAAATGGGCGGAGGCGTTGTTTAGGGAACAGACCACAGATGGGACAGGGGCATGGGTCTGGGGGCGTGGCGGGTGGAATTTGCATGGTGCCTGCTTTCTTCTCCTAGTGTCGCCTCCCCAGGCGTTTTGTAAGACTTGCGTTGAAAATGTTTGTACACTGTTGTCGCTCTCTCTAGGCTCAAAGCAAAACTGTGAAAACCAGTACCGCTGACAGAATCCGCGTTGCGCACTGATAATGGTACGTCCCCCTCCGGAGCTAGGGCAAGTGAGATATGCGGTGACGTCCAGAACTCAGCGGAGACTGGAAGCGGAAGTGTTCGGCGGACCAGGCTAGGCGAGATTTAGTCACACAGATTGTTGTCAGCTGCTGCTGATCTTTGGGCCCTTGGCAGAGATTTAAGGGAAGGAAAGATGGTGACGGGTTTGATGGCTAGTGCTGGCCCGGCCGTGAAGTCGTGGGTGGCCCTACTGTCGGGGTCCAGTGACAGGTCGTCAGGTCCAAGGTTGCTTGTGAATAGGCTGATGCATTGGGTCGTTAACAGACTGTTTTGTCAGGTGTCACGCAGAGGCCAGTCGCTGTGGTAGATGTTTCATGCTCATACACGGGGAAGTTCGGTGCAGTAGTGCTGCGATTAGCTTCATTGCATATAGGAAGCAGATTTGCTGGACACCTCTAAGGTACATAGACAGCAACGCGGAGGAACTCTTTTTTCTTTTCCCCACAGCAGTTTCTTTTCGTAGTGTTGTGAGAGCCAAGTTTTCTGATCAAGGTGGTTTCCCTCTTTGACCTTTGCTCAGAAAATAAAGACCAAGTTTTCTGGGCAAAGGGCTGTAACAGCCTCCTCCCTGTTTTTCTGTTCCTCTTTTTCTGACCAAAGAGTGAATTTATCTCCTCCCGGATAGTTGCTTAGTTAGAGATATTATGTTTTCCTGAGTATAAAGAGTTTGCCTAATTGTGTAAGCATATAAAGTGTTCCTTAAGAATAGAAAGAGTGCCCCCCGCTGAGCTCCTCATGGGTATAATTCCCCTCATGGGTACCCCAAGTGTCCCAATAATAATGCTTAGTAATGAAAAGTTAAAAATAGTATCATCCTCAGCCCTATATAAGCATGGGCTGAAAGTGAGTTGACACTCGTTTCTGATCCGCTGGTTCTGTAAAGTACGAGGGTCCAGGCTCGAGCTTGCAATAAACTCCTCATGTAATTGCATCGGATTCGACTCCTTGGTGGTCTTCTTGGGGATTTTGCGACTTGGGTACAACAGTGTACCTTGTTGATACCGACAGTCGGGATGTTTTGGCAAGAGATCATTAAGAGTGAGACCACACCAAATATTGCACGTGCACACTTCCACAGGCAAAGGTTTATTTTGGAAGAGGGCTTCAGCTGAAGGGGGTCAGCATTGATGGAGAGAGGAGTTATGCTCCTTGCAGAAATTTTTATTGATACCCTAGGGTGCGTCTAAGCCTGGTGAAATTTCCATTGGCCGGTGCATGGTTCCACGTGTTTCCATTCCACGGTCCATGGTTCTTGTGATCACCAGGTGTTCATGGTCAACTTTTGCTGACATAGCATCCAGCAGGGGTCTGGGGTGCTAGGGGCTTCCTGCCAGAGGAGCCTCCATTTCTCTGTGTACGTGCCCTCCAGTAAAGAATGAAGAAGTGGGCGAGACTGGCTCAAACGTTGGAAAATGGGGATGTCAGAGTACAGCGAAAAATGAAGTCAGAATTGAAAGTGAGGTGAAGCAAAAGTTTATTTATGGTGCGAGTGTAGGAGACACTTGCTACCTTGCTACCTTGCAACAAAGTGTGCCACAAAGTAGAGAAAACTCGAATGAGTAATCCAAAGGTCCATCTCACTCATAGGAGTACGCTCCTTTTTTAAAATAACTGTTTCACTGATTGGTGTAATCTACGCCAGTCATGGCCTTAGCCTTTGTTTCTGGGTTGAGGAAAAGATAAGTGAAAGAGGGGCACATAGTACATGAACTTCCTCAAGTTCATAATGTACAGTAAATGTGGTCATTTTACAACCATCAGCTATCCAGGTCATGCCCTACATCATCCTTGCCTAGACCCCTCTAGTCTGTCTCTGTACTAGGTTTCATCCCAGAAGCAACAGTTGTGGCTACTGCAGCTGTTGCATCTCTTTGGTTTTGGACAAGGTCGAGGCAGGAAGAGAGGCTTCCCTTAACCAAGGTTGCCAGCTTCCTCTGGGTTTGCAAGTAAAGCTACAGTAAAGCTACTGGTCTACAGTAAAGCTAGTGGGAGCCGACTCATGAATTATCCAGCTATGTGATCCCCCAAAGCAATGATCTTTTAGTCAACCAAGGGCTTGTTTAGGTTCCCTCCCCACCATCTCTGCACAAGGTACACTAGGGGTTACTAATGGAACCCTCTGTGGTTATTGGTGTTTTCAGGGTAAAGTGTATATCTGAGACCACTGCTCACCACCTACAGGACTCTGCATCCCAGCTTCCTATGTCAGTGTGAGTAGCTCCAGCCTGTTGCCACAGGAGGTGAATTCTCTGGGTGGAAGGCAGAGATCTGGTGCTGCAACGGTAGCCTCAGCTGAAGTGCATTTGTCTTTAAATCACTTTGTCCAACCTCTGGAAACAAGAGAGCTCCTCTGAGGCAAGTGGGAGTAGCCTCAGCCCAGATCCCAGATCCTTAGAAGACTCACAGGACAGCAGTCCTAGAAGAGCTAACCTAAAGTAGCCTTTGTCCCTTCAGCTAGGAGAGAGCAAGCCTGGCTGAATTTGCAGGCACCCACAAGGACTGTGTTCCTGTGGGCAGTTTGATTCCTTTTGTGGGAGAGGGAGATGAAAGTCTCAGGTGGGTGGAGGCATGGATGGGGCAGCTATACCACCGTGGTGTATACCACTGGGAAGGGCCACATCCAGCCACAGCACAATTTCCTCTCCTAGCCTGTGTAAGTGCACAGCATCACACTCCTTTCTCTCGCCATTGGTCTTTCTGAATTTTAGTCCCCTGTCATCAACATCGCGTTTGCCTCCAGGGCACATGCTGAATCTCCCTCCATCCTGACCAAGGGACAAATTATATATATATATA